TGTGTGAGCTGGCTGCAAAAAGAAGCTGTGCTTTCTCTGCTACGCCGAATGTGGAGGAGGAACAGGTTTCTCCACAGTTAGCTGAGCCCCAAATCACCCCTTTTAGTGCCAACACAGGCATTAATGTCAATGTGGATGACTTCTCCTCTATGCAATATATGGAGCTATTTTTAGGGGATACCATGTGGGAGGAGATTGCTCCCCAGACTAATTTATATGCTACCCAATTTATTGATACCAATCCAGATAGCTATGCAGTCAGGGAGGAGTGTGCTTGGCATCCCACAGATGTCGCTGAACTTAAAAAATTCTGGGCTCTTACAATTCTCATGGGGATTATAAAGAAGCCATCAATTTGCTCTTACTGGAGCACCAACCCAATCTGTTCTAGTCGAGTGTACTCTCAAACCATGTCTAGAACAAGATTTGAGCTGCTGCTGAGATACTTACATTTCAATGACAATACCCTCTGTCACCGCAGAGATCACACCCAATATGATAGGCTTCATAAAATACACCCACTGGTAGACCATCTTCAGCACAAATTTACTGAAGTTTATACTCCTCAAAAAATTTTTATCTATTGATGAATCGTTAATGAAATATAAAGGGAGATTAGGATTCAAACAATACATCCTCTCAAAGCGCTTTAGGTATGGCGTAAAATTCTACAAACTGTGCGAGAGCGAAAGTGGCTATACATTTGCCTTTCGTATATATGAGGGGAAAGATGGTCAACTGGACCCTCCTGGCTGTACTGACTCTCTGGGGACAAGCGGGAAACTTGTTTTTGACTTACTGATCCCCTTGTTCAATAAGGGTTACCACCTTTATGTGGACAATTTTTATAGCATTGTCTGTTTGTTTCAAACTCTTTAGGGTTTCTAGATACTGGCCTGTGGCAGTGTGAGAAGATATGCCAAGGATTTCCCCAGACCTTTAATAGAGGCCAAAAAAAAAAGTGAATGTAAAGGTCTGCACAAAGCTAAAGTGCTTGCAATAAAATTTAAGGACAGGAAGGATGTTCACATGCTAACAACCATCCATAACGAGGGCATGTCAGACGTCACTGTCCGAGGCAGGGTACAGACAAAACCGGTGTGCATCAGGGCTTATAACAGGCACATAGGGGGTGTTGATTTGGCTGATCAGCTGATGCAGCCATATCTTATCTTAAGAAAGACAAAAGCCTGGTATAAAAAGGTGGCTATCTACCTGATGCAAGTAGCAACACATAATTCATTTTTACTCTTTTAAAAAAAAATGAATTCAGAAAGAACCACCTTTCTCCAATTTTAGTTCAAGCTGATTTCCACAATAATTTATGGAGATGGTCAAGTTCCAACAACGGTGCCAAAGGAGTCCAGACATTTTATTTTTAAGATACTGCCAACTGCAAAAAAAAACAAATCCCCTGAAATGTTGCTGGGTCTGTTATAAAAAAGGAAAAGGACACTGTTTTTTTTTCTTTTGAAAGCAGCAAATTTTAGTTAGTCAGTTTCCTTCCCCCCAAATCTCCAATTAGATTCTTTTTGCAGGAGTTAGTTTAGAGAATGCTGCTAAAGGTGCATTTGATACCTGCACATTTGGTTAAAAAAGTTTTATGGTAGTAACATATAGCTGGCTGGCCAAAACCAGATGACGTGTGCATAAAAAGCAGAATTAAAAAATTACCACCATGCACGTTCTCTGAAATTTGTTTAGCACAATGGTTGGGGGAAGGATGTGAAAACACCTCATATACAATACTCTGGAATGTCTACTTTATAAAAATATAAACTTTCATGATGTTAACATTAACGGGGGGATGCAAAAATATGCCAAACTGAAGATAGGCCAAGCATACCTATATATTAAGTTGAAAAACTGATATGTACAAGTCTTGAATGTGGCCTTTTAGCCCCCAAACAACCCAACAAACCTATGCATGGGTGATGTCACTGTACTCAGGAGATGTTGCTGAACACATATTGGGGTGTTGTTTGGCAGTGATACATAACAGGATCTGTTAATTCATGCCTAAAGTACAATGTATGTGTAAAAAAAACATGAAGAAAATTACTACCCAAAAGTTTGCCAAAGGCTGGTGGTAGAATTATTGCATGAAAAGTATTAAACTACCACCATTTAAAATACCCTGAGTTGTCTACTTTTCAAAAATATATGGTTTGATGGGGGTAAAATACATTGGCCGAAATAGGACAGGGGCGCTGGTTTACTACATGTCAAAATCCCAAGTTGAAAAATGGATATGTGCACCTGCCAAATGTGGCCTTTTAGCCCCCAAACAATCCGACAAGCCTATGTATGGGTGGTATCACTGTACTCAGGAGATGTTGCTGAACACATATTGGCGTGTTGTTTGGCAGTGACACATAACACGATTTGTTAATTCATGCCTAAAGTACAATGTGTGTGAAAAAAAACACACAAAAATGACTACCTAAATGTTTGACAATGTCTGGTGGTAGAATTAGTGCATGGAAAGTTTTAAAAAACCACCATTTGAAATACCCTAGGGTGTCTACTTTCCAAAAATATATGGTTTGGTGGGGGTAAAATACATTGGCCGGCCTTACAAATGTCCTAAATAGGACATGTGCGCAGGTTGACTACATGTCAAAATTCCAAGTTGAAAAATGGATATGCGCACCTGCCAAATGTGGCCTTTTAGCCCCCAAACAATCCAACAAGCCTATGCATGGGTGGTATCACTGTACTCGGGAGATGTTGCTGAACACATATTGGCGTGTTGTTTGGCAGTGACACATAACACGATTTGTTAATTCATGCCTAAATTACAATGTGTGTGAAAAAAACACACAAAAATGACTACCTAAATGTTTGACAATGTCTGGTGGTAGAATTAGTGCATGGAAAGTGTTAAAAAACCACCATTTGAAATACCCTAGGGTGTCTACTTTCCAAAAATATATGGTTTGGTGGGGGTAAAATACATTGGCCGGCCTTACAAATGTCCCAAACAGGACATGTGCGCAGGTTGACTACATGTCAAAATTCCAAGTTGAAAAATGGATATGCGCACCTGCCAAATGTGGCCTTTTAGCCCCCAAACAATCCGACAAGCCTATGCGTGGGTGGTATCACTGTACTCAGGAGATGTTGCTGAACACATATTGGTGTGTTGTTTGGCAGTGACACATAACACGATTTGTTAATTCATGCCTAAAGTACAATGTGTGTAAAAAAAACACACAAAAAATGACTACCTAAATGTTTGACAATGTCTGGTGGTAGAATTAGTGCATGTAAAGTGTTAAAAAACTACCATTTGAAATACCCTAGGGTGTCTACTTTCCAAAAATATATGGTTTGGTGGGGGTAAAATACATTGGCCGGCCTTACAAATGTCCCAAATAGGACATGTGAGCAGGTTGACTACATGTCAAAATTCCAAGTTGAAAAATGGATATGCGCACCTGCCAAATGTGGCCTTTTAGCCCCTAAACAATCCGACAAGCCTATGCATGGGTGGTATCACTGTACTCAGGAGATGTTGCTGAACACATATTGGCATGTTGTTTGGCAGTGACACATAACACGATTTGTTAATTCATGCCTAAAGTACAATGTGTGTGAAAAAAAACACACAAAAATGACTACCTAAATGTTTGACAATGTCTGGTGGTAGAATTAGTGCATGGAAAGTGTTAAAAAACCACCATTTGAAATACCCTAGGGTGTCTACTTTCCAAAAATATATGGTTTGGTGGGGTAAAATACATTGGCCGGCCTTACAAATGTCCCAAATAGGACATGTGCGCAGGTTGACTACATGTCAAAATTCCAAGTTGAAAAATGGATATGCGCACCTGCCAAATGTGGCCTTTTAGCCCCAAACAATCCGACAAGCCTATGCATGGGTGGTATCACTGTACTCAGGAGATGTTGCTGAACACATATTGGTTTGTTGTTTGGCAGTGACACATAACACGATTTGTTAATTCATGCCTAAAGTACAATGTGTGTGAAAAAAAACACACAAAAAATGACTACCTAAATGTTTGACAATGTCTGGTGGTAGAATTAGTGCATGGAAAGTGTTAAAAAAACACCATTTGAAATACCCTAGGGTGTCTACTTTCCAAAAATATATTGTTTGGTGGGGGTAAAATACATTGGCCGGCCTTACAAATGTCCCAAATAGGACATGTGCGCAGGTTGACTACATGTCAAAATTCCAAGTTGAAAAATGGATATGCGCACCTGCCAAATGTGGCCTTTTAGGCCCCAAACAATCCGACAAGCCTATGCATGGGTGGTATCACTGTACTCAGGAGATGTTGCTGAACACATATTGGCGTGTTGTTTGGCAGCAAGACATAACAGGATCTGTAAGTTTATACCTGAATTGCAATGTATGTGAAAAAAACCAAAAAAAACAACTATCTATGCAAAGTTTGGCAAAGACTTGTGGTAAAATGGCTGCATAGAAAGTGTCAAAATATCCTTAGATGAATACCCTGGGTTGTCTACTTTAAAAAAAATATATACATGTGGAGTGTTTTCCAGAGATTTATGACAGATAATAGTGTTACAATGTCACTATTGATACATTTAAAAAAATTTTGTTTTGAAACCGCCATATCCTACTTGTACCTATAGCCCTATAACTTGCAAAAAAGCATGTAAACACTGGGTATTTTTAAACTCGGGACAAAATTTTGAATCTATTTAGCTGTTTTTTTTCATTCGCTTTTGTAGATGAGTAAAAGATTTTTCAAGTAAAAGTCAAAAAACATTTTTTTCAATTTTTCATCATATTTTTTTATTTTTTTTAAATTAAAATACATGAGATTATATAAATAATGGTATGTAAAGAAAGCCCCTTTTGTCCTGAAAAAAACAATATATAATTTGTATGGGAACAGTAAATGAGAGAGCGGAAAATAACAGCTAAACACAAACACCAGAAAAGTGTAAAAATATTCCTGGTTGCAAATGTACAACATCGCAAAAACAGTCCAGTCCTTAAGGGGTTAATCACTAAACGTCAGAGCATTGTGTACAAACCTTTATTGAGAAACAGCAATCCAAGTAACAATTTAGATTTTTAGAGCAACACAGTAAAACATCTAGGACATTTACAGTGCTTAGTATACAGAAATCTCTTTTCATTCTCATCGTCCATTAAAATACCTTTTCCATTATTAGATAGATATGCTTTTAAATCTGGTCAACAAATCAACTCACTACGATTTCCTGAATTAGAATTTGAGGCATTGCAGTTACATTTTACCATTCTAGCTGCATGTTATCATCCAATCACAGTGAAATGCTTATGGTTTGATTCTGGAAACCAAAGTTCTGATTGGCTACGATATCTCTTGCAGTCAGATTTAGTGAATAACTGTTATTCTCTCTGTTCGATTGAAGCAAGTTTTGAAGATATCTGGCATGGCTTTAAAACAATACATTTTCAATAGCTTGATTACAATAACATAATTGTGAACATATTTGTTAAACCGATTTATATTAATTAGTATGTTACTTGAAGATAAATATATTTCTATATACTTTTATATCTTAAATCGTGCATTTTATTCTAAGCTTTAAAAAAAACACAAAAAAAACATATTAAACTCTCAGCAGTCATTCAGAGGCTAAAATAATAAGTACTATAGACATGATTACTTTTTGGAATGTATTTATTCTACTATAATATAGTATTCCCATAAATGGGTGATAGTCTGGGGTCTATTCACTAAATTTGTAAACAAAATGGGCCAAAAGACCTTAAAAAAAACTTAATTTTATATATATATATATATATATATATATATATATATATATATATATATATATATATATATATATATATATATATATATATATATATATATATTTAAATATCTACCAGCTCAATACTTTGGCCTCCATTTTGCAAGTTGGTTGCAAATTTCCCAGAATACATTGCTGAGTATATAAACCTCTCTTTCTATACAGGTACCATGATGTCACTGTGCATTACTGCCATGGTTGCAATATATAGTTATTTATTTATGCTGCTAACTTCTTTTTTTTTATAGTACACATTTAGTAAATAAACGCCTGTGTCTAGCAATAATTTTTTTAATTTTCTTTTTACATTCACCAAAATTCTGGATTTAGTAAATAATAAAAAGCATGCTGATATAAAATAGCAACACACATTACCTTAGTAATTAGTATTAGTAAAACATAATTACTACTTACAGCCTCAGGGATAGAAAAGTATTTTTAGAAATTGCCTAGTGATAGTTACATTTAACAGTTTTGTTCCAAAAATATATCTGTTTTGGTGCATATTTATTTTAGGATATAGAAGACAAAAAGAAACATTCAATTCACTGGAGGGATCATTTCTTCAAATTTAGAGTTGTTTAGTTTGTCCGAAGCTGGTAATCTGTTTGAGAAATACACAATATTGATAAATGTATTGTATGCACCAATATAGGTATAGGGTTATTCGCAAAACATCGAGTAGCAAAGAAGTAAAAATCTAAATGGCGAAATGCAGGCTAAAGTAGTCGATCTGGAAAAATTAGCCAACTCGGCTAAAGTCTTGGCTTGACTATATTAGCCTGCATTTTGCCGTTTGAATTTTAATTCATTCTAATTTTATATTTTGTGGAAAATCCTGAATTGTCATGACTTTAATGGGAATTCAAAGTAAATTTGCAAATTTCGGCTACAATCCAAGAGATTTTGTTTTTATAAAGCCAGTAAGAGAAGGCCAGCAGTTTTATTATGATTTAGTATAATTTACTTAATTAACAGATGTTGCTATGAGAATAAGAAGCTGCCTGGAACAAAATGTACTCCAGCTACAATCTCTGTCTGGATTCCAGTTAGATATTTGCCGTTTCTAGTTTCCATGGAGTATCTGCTTGTCCACTTACCTCCGCTCTGAGTTATATACCGCACCCAAGGAAGTGCCTGGTATCCACTTTTCTCAATAATCTTCATATACCGAACCTTCAAGAATACAAATCCACTGTTATATCAGCGTATCAAAACAGGTTATACCATTACTTTAACCCATTAAACACGTCGCTGTCATTAGTTCACTGTGACCCCCAGTGGGACTGACCGTTTATTCCATTAAACATGTCACTGTGTTCCCTAGTGGGACTCACCCTTTATCCCACTAAACATGTCACTGTCATTAGGTCACTATGATCCACAGTGGGACTGACCCTTTAACCCATTAAACATATATCATTGGCATTGTGCCTTACGTACCTGAATGCCAGACACTGTGAAATAGGGTATTTCAAACTTCACGCCTATTGGTGGTTTTCCCTCCATCTCCTCGGTTTCCACACTCGGTAAGCCAAAATGTGCCCTCATCAAGTATTCTTTCCCTCCCTGAAACAACCAAAAAAAAAAAAAAGACAAGTTAAATCTCTGTCATCAATTATATCGGAGGCCTGGGGTACGGGGTTCTTAAAAAAAAAAAAAAACAGAAGCAGGGATGGGTCTGTGACAATCTCACAAATCAAATAATATAGCAAGTTGTATCAGAAGGAGACAAAAGCACACATATAATTATTGCAGAGACCGATGCACATAATAATCTTAGTAATCTTTATTTTATACGGACATATTCCATGAAACAATGTGTGTATTAAACTTTCTCTAATCAATATCACTTTAATAATTACAATAGTATCATCAAGGTATTCGGCCAGGAAAGGGTACCTGTTTTCACAGATAGCCTTGGGCTTAGATTTTATTATTCTCAATGTCAAACACACCCACTTTCCCTTCCACTGGTGCACCACCGAGATGCGGTACCTAGGGGTATGGCTCAGACCAAACCTGGCGGACCTATACCATCACAACTTCCTACCACTTCTCAAGACTACGCAGGCAGAACTTCAAGCCTGGAACACCTATTACATATCATGGCTAGGCCGCATCAACGCGGTGAAGATGACCCTACTCCCTAAATTCTTATTCGTCTTCAAAACAATACCCGTTGCAGTGCCGAAGAGCTTTTTTACATCCATCCAAGCGGCTGTCCATCACTTCATATGGAAGGGCAGGTCCCCCCGAATAGTCCACTCCCAACTGACACTCCCTAAACTCAAAGGGGGACTGGCTCTTCCCGACTTCAGGGAGTACTACGTTGCAACCCACCTCACCCGAATCATCAGTTGGTCGACAACACCACTAGACAAACTATGGGTTCAACTAGAAGCGGATAGCTCTGATTGCAACCTTAGAGCCCTGCCGTTGCTCAAACAAGAAGCGAGCCGACGCACCCAACACGCTAATCCATTTGTGAAAGCCACCCTCCGTATCTAGCATCAAAACGGCCCCAAATACTATCTCACTACCAACCCGAGCCCTCTACTCCCCCTCAGGGGAAACCCGGATTTCCCGGCAGGAGACATGGGCCCCACCCTGAGATTGAGGATCAACACCGCAATACCCCAGATGGTGGACATACTCACACCCCCATGCACAATAAAGCCTATTGCAGACCTGTTTCCAGACCAAAGGCACACCTTCCTACACACTATAACAAGGGAACAACTATAGCGATATGCACGTTCGATCCCCCAACGACCGAGCCTTACACGGGATTGTACGGAGTTTGAGTCACCGTGCCTGTCAGATGCACCCCCCGAGAGTGATATTCCAGATATACACCCCATGACAACGGGACGATGCCTTCTGGCACCACCGTGCATCAGGCGCTGGGAAGAAGACTTTGACGAAACACTCACGGACGCAGACTGGGATAAAATCATTACACTCACCCAGAAGACCCCAGAAGATCAGCGAGGCTCCAAGAAAATTCATATAAAGTATTTACGAGATGGTACATCACCCCAGCGAACCTACATGCTAGGGACAGCTCGAAATCAAACACGTGCTGGCAATGCGGAATGGAGACTGGGTAATTTCTCCACCTATGGTGGGACTGCTCCCTCATCTGGCCATTTGGGAAACGGTAGGTCGAGTGATCAACGAAACTATAGACGAAAATGTCCCGATGACACCAGCACCAGACCACTTCATGATTTAAAGACATTGTCTCTGGAAGGGAATTTACAGATTTTACTATTAACATGACGTAAAGTCATGATTTTATTATTGACACGGAGGCGAGTATTATGCTGCACTCTTTCTTTATTTACCTCAGCAGCAAAAATAACATTAAATCAGTATAGAAGAAACCAGTAAATAACATGAGGTATTTCTTCCTAGCAACAGGAACAGCCAATCAGCATCCTATTTATAGCATAATAGGCAGTGTCCGGTATACTACTTCCTCTTTCTTGCGATCCCGAACAAGGACAACAAATCCAAATAAAAAGTGGGCTCCAATAAGAGGGTATACAAACCTTAAACTAAATCTCAAAGTCAAGCTGGAAGAGAAAGGAGAATATGGTAATATCCAAGTATAAAACTGGATTCATGCATAAATTCGCATGTGTATATATATATATATATATATATATATATATATATATATATATATATATATATATATATATATATATATATATATATATATATATATATATATATATATATATATATACACACACACACACACACACACATACACACACACACACATAACATGAAATTCAGTTTAGTCAAACCTTAAACTCTTGACAGTCATTAACAAGGATAAAACTCGGTAAATCAAAAAAGACTTACCGTGAAGTCAACCTACCCAGAGAAGACCAAACCTCCAACCTCCAGGGATGGGAGGGAGGGATAATACTCGCCTCTGTGTCATTAATAAAATCATGACTTTACGTCAAGTTAATAGTAAAATCTGTAAATTTTATTAAGACACGGAGGCTCTTATTATGCTAGTTCAAAGCTGTGAAATTATGTCTCCTGTGAAGTGTTGAATAGGTCTAGAGTAGAAATCATGGAATGTAGACTCCGAAGACCAGCCGCTCTCATAATATCCTCCAAGCAACAACCAATCGAGGAAGCCTTAGAAGCCATTGCCCCACGAACCGAATGAGGCACAGACACATAGGTATCAATACCTGGTAGAGACATAACGTATTTGACCCACCAGGCTAGAGTAGACACCGGAAGACGCGACTTTTGGAAGGAGGAGATGAAGAGTTCCTGTTTGAAAGGATTCCGTAACGTGGTGGAACGATGTTCACACACCCATTAGTATGCAACAGGGCAAAGGAGAGATCTATCAGGGAAAACTGGGTCAAATTGATTTTAGAGGAGATTTTTGTCCTCCGTGAAATGTCAAAGAGGACACCTTCTGGAGTAAAGGAACGAGCAACCACCTCAAGAGCTCGTACATCAGAAAAACCTCTTGCAAGAAAAAAATTCAAGACAATAGAGACGTCCCACAAGACAGAGTATCGTGGTAAGGGTGAATGAGCAAACCATATTCCCCAGAGAAGTCAACATATGACAGGATGTCAACCAACAGGCGTCCAATCGAAACTTTGATGGCAAGCAGAAATGGACGATCGGTAAGGTTTACAGTGCGATAGGCTGTACCTTCATCATAGAAGTCAGAAAAATGGAGGACAGATATAAAAGGAGCAGATATGGGATTTAAATTTAATTTCATGCACCAACTATTCCATCTGCTCCAAGCAGATTTATAAGCCTGTCTCGTGTTGGGTGCACCCTTGATAAGTTGGGGAGTTGATTGCGAAACTCCCTTCACAGACCAAGGTTCCCTGAAATAGACTACACTATGAGATGCAAGAGACCTTGGAGAACAAGGGGATGAGGTACTCCATCAGCATCCTGAAGAAGGCACTCGAGAGCTGGAAGGTCGATAACCATCTCCTGAAGAGGAGAGAACTATGGTTGGGACGGCGATATAGGAGCCACGATCACCAGGTGCCGGACTGGCAATGTAGATGGAAAGGCAACAGGGAATCAGTGCAAAGGGCAGAAAATCGTAATTCCTTGGAGAAAACATTCATAGCCAGTGCTATCGGTTCTGGTCTCCAACTGAAAAAATGGGGAAGTTGAGCATTCAAACTAGAGGCGAAAAAGATTTATTTCCAATAGACCCCATAGGTTCCAGATGTCTTGGAAGACCATGGAATCCAAGTGTCAGTTGCTGGAATCTCTGCGTTGGTGTGAATACCAGTCCGCCGTAGTGTTGGAGAGACCTTGAATATATTCTGCCGTGACTGAAAGGCCGTTTATCAGGTCAAATTTCCAGAAATCACGAAGCATGTAGGTCAGAATGTTGTATTTTGTGCCTCCAAGTGATTGATGTAGCGGACTGCTGACATGTTGTCCATCTTCAGAAGGATGGCGCATTGGGCTTGAGTTGGGGAGAAACTGTGGACTGCAAAGGAACCGGCCAGATGTTCCAAACAATTGATGTGGAGTGTCGGTTCCAGGTTTGATTATCTGCCCTTGGTGGAAATATATCCGCATTGAGCACCCCAACTGTCCAAACTTGCGTCGGATTTGATTATCACATCTGGAGCTGTACAAAATATGGTGCGCTCATTCCAAGCTTCCATGTGAAGAAGCCACCATTGGAGTTCATCCTCCGCTTCTGAGTCCAGAGTTACCATATCTGTGTATGATGTGCTGCCCTTGAGATGAAGTTTGTAATCGTTGTAAGGCTCGATAGCCAAGAAGACCTGGAAAAATGGCCTGTATAGATGCAGCTAGAAGGCCTAACATTATTAAACAGTTGTTTGAGAGAGAGTTGAGAGGTTGCTAGTGTTCGCCTATCTCCTTCTTGATATTTGCTAATTTTGCCCCCGGAAGGTGTAGAGTTTGAAGGGTAGAATCTACAATAATCCAATATAACCCAGAAATTTGATTTGTTGCGTGGGAACGATAATGGATTGACAGAGTCAAAGTCCATGCAAGGTATGTCCGGATTAATTGAATAGACTGAGCCAGAATGAAAATGCTGTCTAAATATATTATAAGACGTGAGCTTGGTGAAGCACCATGGAGCCGAAGACAGTCCGAATGGGAGGCACCCGAACTTCTATTTACTGCCCTACCATGTAAATTGCAGGAAGTTCTCAATCTTGATGTTGTACTGTGATAGGCACTGTGAGATATACATCCTGCAGATCCAATTTGGCCACCCAATCTGCTGGTTGGAGAAGATACCTTAAACAATGCCCTCCTTCCATCTTGGAAGTACTGATATGCTCATAACTATTGAGCTGTCTCAAATTTATCACTGGACGGATACCTATGCCTTTTTTGGGAAACAAGAAAAGGTTGCTCACGTAACCCAGGGTATGGGCCGGAATCTCTACGATTGATTGTCCACGGAGACAAGGTCTGTGTCTCATTGGGGAAAAACAATTTCCCTCGATGGGGAACATTGAACAGTTAGAGAAAGGAAGTCTATGCAATACCTTTTCACAGTGTGAAGAACCTAAGCATCTGATGAAACGAGGGACCATACATGGGAAAAATGTGTGAGTCTGCCCCCCACTATCAGTAAGGAAGAATGGAAATTGTGAAGACTTCTTAGGAGCACCTCTTAGGCCACTAACAACCCAGGGTCGACCACTTTGTGGGAAGGAGGTTGGTATAGTGCATTGTTCAAAGAAATCGGCTCGGCAAGTATAAGAGCCTTGGTTCTGTCTAAAAGAACTTCTGTTTGTTTAGCAGGACAAAGGAGCCCAATTCTTTTACAAAGTTGTACCCAAAGAGAAAACCTTTTGCCTGTGTTATCTGGCTCGTCCAGAGCCATAGTTAAACGTTTGTGCTCAATTTTAAGCAAGATCGATTTGTGGTGTTCTGCGACAACCGCATTGTTGGCGTTGCCAACTTAAATCACTCTCTGGATCTAACCACTTAAGATTGCGCAATCTAATTCTAGATCATCCTCTACTGCTTCAAAGATCTTGGCTGCTGAGCCCAAGATGCCCAGGATTTTATCCTGACAGTTTTGCAATTAAAATCTAAGCCTTTAAAGGGCTTCCATCCTGTCTTACTCAGGAATTGAATGATCTTAGGATCGACTGATAGCGTTTTACGTGAGTCATCAGGGACTGTTCGGCGTGGCCATTCAGCCCGCAATTTATTTCACTTTGCCTTCTCAAAAGGCTTGCGTACTCTGGATGCAATATACTTGGCTACATGGTCTGAGGAGACCACTGGGTGACATAGGTTGTCAGATTCGAATAGCAGTTCATATTGAGTGTCCAAGATCCTATCGGTGTCCCTGAGTCTGCATAATTTACCTAAATCTTGGTAGGTTTAACAGGACGTGTATCCCAAACGGGATTAGCATCCTCTTCATCAGTAATTTCATAATCAGGATCATAAATATCCTCTGAATCCTCCATATAGGACTCAGGAAACTACTCCTCAATATCACTGAGCTCAGATTCAGAGTTCAGTTGGGCATTTGCCCTTTTCCAAAGTCTAGTCGATTTTGCCAGACTAGTAGCTATTTTGCGAGGTGGTAAGTTAATCGCGCCATCCGTGACAGGTATGGTACTGTCCATCTTTATTGTTTTGGAGGAGTGTTTAGCCTTATATGAGGCCTTGCAGCCAGGCTGAAGCAGAGCAGGTGTGAGTAAAAGTACACCCCCATATAGTACTCAGGGAACTCCTCCTCAATATCCCTGAGCTCAGATTTAGAGTTCAATTGGGCTTTTGCCCTTTTTCAAAGTCTAGTCGATTTTGCCCGACTAGTAGCTCTTTTGCGCGGTGGTAAATTAATCGCGCCATCCGTGACAAGTATGGTACTGTCCATCTCTATTGTTTTGGAGGAGTGTTTTTAGCCTTATATGAGGCATTGTGGCCTGACACCAGGGGCTTTTGCCAATGAAAGTGTCAATTAAAGCCTGCATGTCAGCAGGATCAGTAAAGCATAAATTCAGCCTCATCTCCAGAGATACCTGGAGAGGCTTCTACATTAATCTGCATGTTTGCTGTAGACCCAGAAAGATCCTGTCAGACTGCATCAAAAATATACAAACAAACCTAAGGGGATAAATAAAGTAAAATAATACCAAAAGGAAAGGGCTGAGTAACCCTCAAGTAAAAAATAAATCACTAAACAGGATAAAGAAATGAAAGTACTCACAATAGTGAAAAAAATAGCAATTGTAGTATAAAGACAAAGGAGCTGCCCGGCTGCCGCTATAACTAAACCCCAACTTGGATTTCTGGCAGTTGGTGGCAGAGCAGCAGCCAGACAGATAAATGAAGGGAAAAAAACAGCACAATGGCCCTGTGCGGGGGATAAAGATCCTCAAAGACGTCCCTGATCCCCAATTGATGGTAATCTTGAGGTCAGAGGGGAAATAAATTATCAAAGGATATACAATAAAGCATATAAATTAAGTAAATAAATCAAATTAAGTTAAAATGAAGTGACTAAATATATTTATAAACATGGAAATATTATAATTAAAATGTAATAACTATAATAATAACTATATTAATCACAGTAATGATATGAATAAAGTAAAGTAAAAGATCCCACAGTTAAGAACCATGAGACCAAGTGTCACATAACTGAGGGAGCAGCAAAGAAAGAGGAAGTAGTATACTGGACACTGCCTATTATGCTATAAAGAGGATGCTGATTGGCTGTTCCTGTTGCTAGGAAGATATACCTCATGTTATTTACTGGTTTCTTCTATACTGATTTAATGTTATATTTCTTTGCTGCTGAGGTAAATAAAGAAAGAGTGCAGCATAATAGGAGCCTCCGTGTCTTAATAAAATCGGATACCTTGCATTTAAAGTAGAAGAGTAATCTAAGTAGGCAAGAATACTTTTATATCTATTACATAGATTACCTAACGTCATCCACCTAAAGAATGAAAAAAAATGGATATGTTAATATATGAATATATAAAATATGTTAACAATCAGACAATCACACGAACATAGAAAGACTAATCAACAAAACCTTCTCACCGGGAATGATTTAATAGTCCAGACCACAACGTTTTTTTCTGGTACATATTTGGCGCTCCCCACGCTGGTTTTAAATTTTGGAGAATCCGCATCACTGGGAACAGGAACTGAAATCTCCACATTGTTTGCCACCGACTGTTTCTTAAACTGACCTTTAGCCTAAATACAACAGTGAGAAAGATAAGAGAGGGGATTTAATATATAGCTTATAATGTTCTGCATGTCTCCCTCTTTGGTGGGAGGGACAAACTCCATGTCCCATAGCTCCCTCCTGTCTGTGTCACCCTGTGCTGGGAGGGACAGACTCCATGTCCCATAGCTCCCTCCTGTCTGTGTCACCCTGTGCTTGGAGGGACAGACTCCATGTCCCATAGCTCCCACCTGTCTGTGTCACCCTGTGCTGGGAGGGACAGACTCCATGTCCCATAGCTCCCTCCTGTCTGTGTCACTCTGTTCTGGGAGGAACAGACTATATGTCCCATAGCTCCCTCCTGTCTCTGTCACCCTGTGCTGGGAGGGACGGACTCCATGTCCCATAGCTCCCTCCTGTCTGTGTCACCCTGTGCTGGGAGGGACAGACTCCATGTCCCATAGCTCCCTCCTGTCTGTGTCACCCTGTACTAGGAGGGACAGACTCCATACATAATCCCATGAGACACCCTCCTGGTGTCCTACCCCTGTGCACTGGGAGGGACAGGCTCACGATCCCACTTGGCACCACCCTCTTTCTGCCTTGTCACTTGCCCTGTGCTGGAGGAGGGACAGACTCCCGATCCATGGCTCTCTCCTGTCACCCTGTGTGTCACCCTGCTGGGAGGGACAGGGCTCCCCACGTCCCCATAGCTCACCTCCTGTCTGGCCAATCACCCTGGCTGCTGGGACGGGGGTTGAATCCGTCCGCCAGGCTTCCTCCTGTCTGTGTCACCCTGTGCTGGGAGGGACAGACTCCACGTCCCATAGCTCTCTCCTGTCTGTGTCACCCTGTGCTGGGAGGGACAGACTCCACGTCCCATAGCTCCCTCCTGTCTGTGTCACCCTGTGCTGGGAGGGACAGACTCCATGTCCCATAGTTCCCTCCTGTTTGTGTCACCCTGTGCTGGGAGGGACAGACTCCACGTCCCATAGCTTCCTCCTGTCTGTGTCACCCTGTGCTGGGAAGGACAGACTCCATGTCCCATAGTTCCCTCCTGTCTGTGTCACCCTGTGCTGGGAGGGACAGACTCCATGTTCTATAGCTCCCTCCTGTCCCTGTCACCCTGTGGTTGGAGTGTAAGGTCACTGTACTAACTGCTTCTGTAAAGATCAGTGTTGCTCTAACCGGGGTGTTTAAGGAGTCATTCTGGTGCCAACCAAAGCCATAACAGGTCAGTGATTTATATATATATTTATATATATATTTATATTATATATATATATATATATATATACATACATACATATACACACACATACACACATACATACACACACACACACACACACACACACATATACACACACACACACATATACTTAATGCCACATACCTTCACCATAATTTCTACTCGACTGTGGCTGAATTTCTCAATGACAGATTCAATCCAGATCAAAGGTTTCACCTGTGGGCAAATAAAATACTGCTTTAACACCATGTAAATTGTTTAAAAAGATACTTCAGGCACACTCTGGGCATCAACACAAGTTAAGGGTGTGTCATTTTTGGACTCATAATCATGCTGTGTTTGTCTTCACAAATAACAAAAATATCTTTATCTTTTGCAATAAATAAATATTGCAGGTTTCTCCAACATGAACAAAAAATTATTTAAAAAAAAAAATACGCCTTGCGTGTCGGATCTCGGGTGGCCCCACCCATGCTCCGCCCCCTAGGCTAAGATCAAACTTGATGATCTCTGACAACCCAATACTTCCCCATAAGAAAGGATTGGGAGGCTGATGTGCATGTGCTGCAAACTACCACCCTGTGCTAATCACCATCTCCTCATAGAGGTGCATTGACTCAATGCATCTCTATAGGGAAAGTTCGGCGCCTCCATGCAGGCTGTGGAGACACTGAATGTCAATGCTGCACGATGTACAGCACTGACCTAGGAACAGGGCCGTCTATAATATGAATATGACCCCGGGCAAAGCCTTTTCTTGGGCCCCCTGGGCCCTGTCACTGCACCCTCCCTCCCCATTACGCCCAACCCGCAATCACACTGACAGACATACTGACACACACACAGACAGACACATTAAAACATTCGCAGATACATACTGACACACACATACACTGACACAAAAATATATACTGGCAAACATTGACACACATTCAGACATACTGATACACACACAGACACATACATACTCACAGACACATACACTGACAGATATACTGACACAGACACACACAGACACATACACTGACAGGCAGGGCCGGACTGGCCCACCGGGATACCGGGAAATTTCCCGGTGGGCCGCGGCACCTGGGGCCGGTCTGACAGCCCTGATCCCGGCCGGCTATGTGTGAGCTGTGCGGCCGCACAGAGCCCCATGGGAGCAGGGGGAGCCTGGCGGCCGTCACAGCTCACACATGGCCGGCGGGATCATAAAAAATAAATTTAAAAAAATTTGCAGCGGGGGCGGGGCTTAGCGTGCCGGGGGCGGGGCTTACTGTGCGGCGGGGGCGGGGCTTACTGTGCGGCGGCCTGGCTGACTGCAGCATGGGAAGCAGGAAGGAGTCCCTGCTTCCCCAACAACCAGCCTCCAGGAGCAACAAACAGGAGGTAAGAAGGAGGTCAGTGTGAGTGTGTGACTGTCTGTGTGAGTGTGTGACTGTCTGTGTGAGACTGTGTGTGACTGTCTGTGTGAGTGTGTGACTGTCTGTGTGAGACTGTCTGTGTGAGACTGTGTGACTGTCTGTGTGAGACTGTGTGTGACTGTCTGTGTGAGTGTGTGACTGTCTGTGTGAGACTGTCTGTGTGAGACTGTCTGTGACTGTCTGTGTGAGTGTGTGACTGTCTGTGTGAGACTGTCTGTGTGAGTGTGTGACTGTCTGTGTGTGACTGTCTATGTGAGTGTGTGACTGTCTGTGTGTGACTGTCTGTGTGAGTGTGTGACTGTCTGTGTGAGACTGTCTGTGTGAGACTGTCTGTGTGAGACTGTGTGTGACTGTGTGAGACTGTGTGTGTGAGTGTGTCTGTGTGACTGTCTGTGTGAGACTGTCTGTGTGACTGTCTGTGTCTGTGTGTGTGTGTCTGTCTGTGTGTGACTGTCTGTGTGTGACTGTCTGTGTGTGACTCTGTGTGTGAGTGTGTGACTGTGTGAGTGTGTGACTGTCTGTGATTGTCTGTGTGAGTGTGTGACTGTGTGTGACTGTCTGTGTGAGCGTGTGACTGTGTGTGTGAGTGTGTGAGTGTGTGTGACTGTGTGAGTGTGTGACTGTCTGTGTGTGACTGTGTGAGTGTGTGACTGTGTGAGCATGTGACTGTGTGTGACTGTCTGTATGAGTGTGTGACTGTCTGTATGAGTGTGTGACTGTCTGTGTGAGTGTGTGACTGTGTCTGTGTGTAACTGTGTCTGTGACTGTCTGTGTGAGTGTGTGACTGACTGTGTGTGTGACTGTCTGCCTGTGTGTGTGACTGTCTGCCTGTGTGTGTGTGTGTGTGTGTGTGAGTGTGTGGCTGTCTGCCTGTGTATGTGTGTGGCTGTCTGCCTCGGTGTCAGTGACTGTCTGCCTGTGTGTGTGTGTGTGTGGCTGTCTGCCTGGGTGTCAGTGACTGTCTGCCTGTGTGTGTGTGTGGCTGTCTGCCTGGGTGTCAGTGACTGTCTGCCTCTGTGTGTGCGTGTGCGCGCATCTGCTAGTGAGGGAGCCTCTGTGTGTGTGTGTGTGTGTGTGTGTGTGCCTGCTAGTGAGTGAGCTTGTATGTGTGTCAGTGAGCTTGTCTGTAGGGATCATATGTGTGTGTGTGTTAGTGAGCTTGTCTGTAAGGAGCATGGGTGTGTCGGAGCCTGTCTGTGGTTAGCGTGTGTACAGTGAGCTTGTCTGTAGTAAGCATGAGTGTGATCGTGAGCTTGTCTATAGTGAGCATGTGTGGGTCAGTGAGCTTGTCTGTAGTGAATCTGTGTGTTAGTGAGCTCTTCTGTAGGGAGCATGTGTGTGTCAATGGGCTTGTCTGTAGGGAGAGTGTGTGCGCATCAGAGAGATTGTCTGTAGTGAGCGTGTGTGTGTGACAGTGAGCTTGTCTATAGTAAGCTGTGTGTGTGTATCAGTTTGTCTGTACTAAATTTGTGTGTGTGCCAGTAACCTTGTCTGTGTGTGTCATTGTCTGTCAATGAGCCTATTTGTGTGCATCAGTAAGATTGTCTGTCTGTGTGTGAGTATGCTCCTACTGTATAATTTAATTAACCTAAAAGAACTAATATTTTGAATTAGAAGAAGAAATGTATCAATAAAATATATATATATATATATACTGTTGCATCACCAGGGCTCCAGTATCCAGTATATATATATAGGCAATTGAAATAGTTGGCTGCACTCTCGGATTTCCTTAAAATTTTACTTTTATTTAAATATTTAAGAGAAGATCAACGTTTCAGTCCCTCTTGTGGACTTGCATCAGGATCGTGACGAAAGTCCACAAGAGGGACTGAAACATTGATCTTCTCTTAAATATTTCAATAAAAGTTACATTTTCAGGAAATCCGAGAGTGCAGCCAACTATTTCAATTGTGTGTGTGTGTGTGTGTGTGTATATGTATGTATGTATGTATATATATATATATATATATATATATATATATATATAAATAAACACCCTACATAGCACAATGACTTATGGGGCTGGCATAGATTTTTTTTCCAGGGCTGCTTTGTATCCCCAGTCCGGCCCTGCTGACAGGCGTATTGACATACACAGACATACTGACATACACACACACACACTGGAACACAGTGAGACATACTGACATACACACACAGACATACTGACATACAAACACACAGACATACACACAGTATGTCTGTGTGTGTTAGTATGTCTGTGTGGTGTATGTCAGTATGTCTGTGTATGTCAGCATGTCTGTGTGTGTATGTCAGTATGTCTGTGTGTGTTAGTATGTTTGTGTGTGTATGTCAGTATGTTTGTGTGTGTATATGTCTGTGTGTGTGTATATGTCTGTGTGTGTATGTCAGTATGTGTGTGTATGTGTATGTCAGTGTGTGTGTATGTCTGTGTGTGTGTATGTGTCAGTATGTCTGTGTGTGTGTGTGTATGTCTGTGTGTCTGTGTGTGTGTATGTCATTATGTCTGTCATAGACACACACAGACATACTGACATACATACACAAACAGACATACTGACACAGACATACTAACACACACACACAGACACAGACATACTAACACACACATACTAAAACACACACAGACATACTAACACACACACACACAGACATACTAACACACACAGACATACTAACACACACACATACTAACATACATTTAGCCACCCTCCAGGTTCTTACCTTTTTATGGAGGGTGGTTTCCCTGGGGTCCAGTGGCAGGCTGAGGCAGATGGGAGTTCTTCTCTGGAACTCCCCTCCTCTCTGCCTTCCTCCTCCCGCGCGGCTATCTTCGGTGGGAGGAAGTGACACGCGGTACTCACTTCCTCCCAGCCGGTACAGGAAGGGGCCCGGTCGTGCTGTTTAAGCGTCACAGCGCCCGACCGGGCCCCTTCTGCCACGTGCCCACAGGGTGGCCCTTAGTGCATGGGCCACCCGGGGGCCTCCTTGGTTGGCGGGCCGGTGCGGCTGCACCGCCGGCCGCCGGGTACATGGGGGCTGCTGAAATCGCGGGGCCCACGGGGCAGCTGCTCTGGGGCCCCCCCAGGAGCAACTGGGCCCGGGGCAGCTGCCCCGTTTGCCCCGCGCTAAAGACGGCCCTGCCTAGGAAGCACCTCTATGGTTGTCTGAGTGACTGCCACTGGAGGTGTTCCTAGGCAATAATGTAAACAATGCCTTTTCTCTGAATAGACACGAGAACAACTAAATTAAGCCTTAGTTGTTCTGGTGTCCCTTTAAATCAGGGTCTATATGAAAAACTGGTTGTAGTATGAGAATTCACATACTGTAGTATGGCAAACAACCTTCTAATCAATGAAAGGAGCTGCGTTTATTATTTTATTGATTATTTATGTTTCAAATTACAGGGCAGCACCTTTCCTATACTGTCCACCAGCATGAAAAAGTAATATGTCTTTAAGAAAAATATGGTAGATCTGGTATTCAATGAAGTAGGTAAGACTCTGGTTAACTAATCCGTTTATTTACTATGATCGTAGGGTTGTGAAATTGCAATACCTGTGTGTTTAGCCGGTAGGACATTAGCTCAAAATCTCCATCGGGAGGGATGAAAGAGATTGTACGATCATTCTCAAAGCGGGAAAGTCTTACACACTGGTGAAACTTCACATCCTCCAGTTCCACGGTTTTATTCTTGTTTCCTATGTATACATTCAACATATGAATATGATTAACAGAGAATATTGCACAGCTGTAAGGAGGACCTTTTATCATTAATTGACTGATAACGGCGTTTAATTCCAGAGTGATCAAATTGCAGGAACAAGCCATGGATTCCTTCACAGAAGCAGTGAAAACTACGTTTTTTTCTAACTGTGCTTTCAAACACGGTCTGACCCGAGGCCCATGTATATGGCTGAAGTATCTGGTCATATATAAAAGGTAGGATGCCTCCCAATCGTCACAGAGTAGGAAGTCCCTCGAGAGTCCACATGTGTGTGGTTAAAACCTAACTTTTATTTGTCACTATAAACTAAAATGTAAATAATAATAATAAATCTAATAACGGAAACAAAAACTAAAGCTAAAAAGAACGCAGACAAGAGAAAGAATAGCAAAGAAATCACTTATATATAGGAGAGTTACCCTAAAAGTGTGGTCACTGATAGAACCAATACCATCATAGGAAAATAACTAATTAAATATAGTAGGATATACTAAATCGAGTAGTATAATTTTTCCACTTCTCCGAGTCACATCCAATGGTACAATCCTGCACAGACTAAAGAGAAGAACCCCTTTTCTGTCTAAAGAGGAAATGAAAGTCTGAGGGGATGCCTGTAGGGGAGAGTGCTATCTCTACAGAGGATCCGTAATATCTGCTGACCCTGTATCTACTCCCCCCCCCCTTTCTCTCTCCTCCATCCAAGATCCACATAAAACCAGCTGAGAATGTCAAATAAATTAGGGTAAAGTTAAATCATACTAAATCATAAATCAAAGAAATCGCCTGTCTGCTCTGCTCCATTGGATGTGAGTTTTTTTGTGCTATAGCGTCGCTGGACGTCCTCATGCTGTGTGAGGACCTCCAGCGTCGCTAAAATCCCCATAGGAAAGCATTGAAAGCATTCTCCTATGGAGAGGTCTAATGCCGCGCATGCGCATTAGGTCTCCCCTACTGGCAGGCATGATCAGTCTCCCCCGCCGGATGACGTGGTGATGGGGAGGAGTGTGGGCGAACCCAAAAGCTGTGCCGAGGGACATCGGCGCTGCCTCAGGTAAGTCACTGAAGGGGTTTTGACCCCTTCAGAAACCGGGGATGGGAGGTGGGAGGGAAAGGGGACCTGCAGTGCCAGGGAAAAGATTTGTCTTCCTGGCACTGGAGAGTCCCTTTAACTCAGATGGGCCGCCCCTTTCCTGGCAGATCCGCTCTTTGGGGTGGAGCTAGTGACACAGTTGTGTCACTGGCCCACCCATTTACCTCCCTCCCACCGGCGCCCTTGGGAAGTATGCGGTAGGGATGAATGCTCTCATTTTTTACTTTTACAAATTAAAAACAAATTTATTTCCTTCAACAACTCGATGAAAGGAAGATTATATTAAAAAAACAGTTTTAACTTGACAGTTGTCCTTTAACATGACTCACCGATCAACAAAATCATTCAGAAACCCATGATGTGTCAGTAAATTTTACTCCAGAATAGCGAAATCAGGAAAAACATTGAGGTTTACAGCTAGGCTATTTTAGCCCTAAATATGCAGTTATAGCCATTTACTAAATAATAAATTGTTGGAAAGTCACCACTAGGTAGTTTTCCATTCCTTTTCCTCCAAAATTACTCACGTCCAGTTAACTCGAAGAGAACTCGGTCGTTTAGCCCAAGACGTAGCTCCGGCATCCCAGAAAGAAAAACCTTAAGCTTCACAGTGCCGACAATCTCACTGAGCAGTACGCTGCCATTAGTGTTCACCTGTTACATACGATAACACACATATTACACATCATCACCCAGCAGTAATGCAAACATTCTTTATGGTAAGATATAGAATTCTCTCGAAGTTGTTAATCTTTCAATTCAGCTTTTTGGTCGGAAATATTGAAATTCACTTTTCCTGACCATTCACACTTAAAGGACCACTGTAGGCACCCAGACCACTTCAGCTTAATTAAGTGGTCTGGGTGCCAGGTCCAGCTAGGATTAACCCTTTCTTCTATAAACATTAACCCTTTCTTCTATAAACATAGCAGCTTCAGAGAAACTGCTATGTTTATAATAGGGTTAATCCAGCCTCTAGTGGCTGTCTCATTGACAGCTGCTAGAGGCACTTCTCACTGTGATTTTCACAGTGAGAAGACGCCAGCGTCCATAGGAAAGCATTGTGAATGCTGTCCTATGGACTGGCTGAATGCGCGCACGGCTCATGCTCATTCAGCCGATGACGAGGAGAGTCCCCCGCCCGGCGCTGGAAAAATAGGTAAATTTAACCCCTTTCACCCCCTAGAGCCCGGCGGGAGCGGGGCCCTGAGGGTGGGGGCACGCTCAGGGCACTATAGTGGTCCTTTAAATGCATGATTCTGTCAGTGTCCTCTCATTAGGTGAAATTTAATCTCCCTGACCTTAATACTGCTTGAAACCACAAGCTAGACATGCACGTATACAGTAACTAGTGGGCTGTAAACATATATACACAGATTTAGTGGCTAGGCTCCAGAGCTGACACTCACCAGCAGATTGACAGACTCTATCACATCTATAAACACTTCATTCTTCTTGTATTTGATTCCTTCAGATCTCCAGGACACAGCGTTGGTTACTGTAGTGGGGACACGAGACTTGGCCGTCTCCAGCTTGTTGCCTTGCTGTGTGATATATCTTCATTCATCGGGAAAGAGTTCAAATTAGCAAAGACTATTATGTGCTAGGGTGAAGCAGAGGCTAACAAGGAGGGTCCGAAGACTCAACATTTATAGAGAATGTAAGCTTTGTAGGTTAGTATTTGGAGTTCTGTGTGTTTGTCTATTGTTGTAACCCATAAAATAATCTCATGAATATCAATTATTACATTAATTCCCTTTACATTCCCTTTACATTAATTTTTCTTAAAGGCCAAATAATAATAATAATAATAATAACCACCTATTCAGTTAAAAAAAAAAAAAAAGTTATCATGAAAAAGGAATCTCCTATTTAATTAAAGACTGGCTTTTCTATTTCATCAAATATTCTCTGTAACTTTACATCCAACCTTGCAGCTTGACCTTTTGTTTTCAACACGGTCTACCTTTTATACTTTAGTAGACCAATTCATATTTCATTATTACGTTTATCATTGAGCTCTTGATAGTTTCCCATTGATATTTTCCTCCCTACCCCCCAATTTATTAATGTCCTGAGAAAATGTTTTATTAATTGGCCATAGTGAAATTTTGGGAGCCATGTATAATATAATGAAGCATCGGTTTACAGTAAGTAATGATAAAATGAGGAAATGTACTTCAAGGTTGATGATCTAGGCTTTCTGAATGGTCTATTATGGCAATGTGCAGAATATGAACCATTAATACTCACTCCTGAAGAATTTTGCTCTCAGTCGTTTGGGGGAATCCGAAGTCCATAACTTCATCCAACAGCTCGTACACAATGACAAAGTTATCCCTGATACTCTCCTCCTCCAATTCCTTGAAGTACTCTGTGAAGACCTGAGGAATGGAATCCATAGTAGGTTTAATAACTAGTCTCTATTCCAAGACCCTGTAGCACCCACATTTTTTTATTTATTCCACCACATGTCCCTGTGCAACCTTTGGAATGTCCCATTGAGGACTATACATAAGGGAAATTGGTGTAGTAGTCTATTTGTCATGACTTGCCAATTACCCCAGAGTGGACATTCTTCATTCACGTTACATATTGTGCTCAAAATCCCATTGTGCATTGGTTGCCAGTAGGAACATATATAGGCAAGCAGGGGGTATGTTTTGGCCCTTGACCAATGTCCTCTAATGTTGAGTGCCTATTTATACATATTTAGTACCATTTATTCAATTACCCTTTTGTGACTTCTATTTTCAGCACTACAGCAAACTGGAGATTCCACCACAACACAGTTAAAGAGAAGATCTGGCCATGCTGGAGGGCAGCCATATATTAACCCTCCCCTATAGCCCCTTAAGGACACATGACTGAAATTTTCCATCATGCTGGTCTTTCACTTCTGAATCAGTGTCTTTAAGGGTTTAATTTACTCAAACTTTATAAATGAATTTAATATGTCCTCCCATTCTGAGGAGGTGAACATAAGAGAGGTTATTGTTGAATGCATTTTCTTAAGGCTATTGTCCAATTACAGCTCCCATACGCCTTTGATTGCCTTAAAAGAGAGTTTGTTCCCTCACAAGCCTTGTTCTGAGGCTGGTAGGACATAACTGCCACCAAATCAGTGGAAAACATTAACAGGGAGGGCAAAAATATTCAAACACAGCCAACACGGCTGCCCTCTGAAGGTAAGCATTAGGAATGGGAGCAGATCTTATTTAATACCATTAAGTTCCAACACCAAGCCAGAACATTTTTTTATTCCCTTACAACAAATCAATGTGAGAACCACCCTCCCAATTAAACACAAGCCACTTACCTCTACCACTTTGTATAAGAAGGAGTAGACCAATGATGCATTGGCGTTCTTATTGGTTAATGCAACCACTGGTGCAATGAAATGTTAAAGATAACAAACAAACCACAAAATCAAAAAGTTGCAGGTATAATACAGCTAAAAATATACTCAAGAACAGGGACAGGCATTTCTTAAAGCAGCTCTACCACTTCAGAAGTCTTTGCATATCTCACAAAGATCACTCGAGGAGACATGTCTGTTTAATGTGCGTCGGCTGGTGGGAGAAGCTAAAGAGAGATATATTCACTTGAACCTCTCTGTTAGGTGTACGAACATCTTTCTCTCGGGTCTGCCTTCACCTCTCATGTCCATCTTGTACTGTTCCAAAAATCCACAGAACTTCTGCAATGTGCAAAAACCTACTGTATTGACATAACTTTGTCAGCCATGTATTATGAGATCTGTTGATTACATCATATTTCAGTGAAATTCCAATACAGTCAACACAGGTATTTAAAAGATAATATCTCTAAAGAAAAATCGTATGGGTAGTTAAATGTCTAGTGGTGCCAAGATTATCCATCACTCTCTTATAATATATAATAAAGACTGCCAAAGGTTTAGCCACCCTCATTTTATAGTAAAACAGCACATGTGCACATATAATGCAAACCACTCCCCCCTTCCACTTGTATAAAGAGTGGTCAGCATGTAGCTGTGAAGGATACAGTAGAGGTTGCTGTGTTTAATCCACAAAAAATGCACTTTTCCGTGAGTTAGCAATGGCGATAAATTGCCTTCCTCCTCGCGTTGCACCAGCAACGGCATGAAATGGTCAATTTCCGCCATATTGATGTCACCTTTGTAATTCCTGCAAATGAGGGGCTACAGAAAGAAATTATCTTGTTCAATATTTAGCAAAATTAGTGGAATCACTAGCAGATCATAGTTAATAACAATTATCAGGAACATTATGGTTTACCCAAAGTACAAGGAATTTCACAATTAAAAAAGGGACACACCAAGCACCACAACTACTTCATCTCATTGTTTTGGTTGTGGTATAACAAAGCGGTTAATGCATTTTCAGATGTGGCAATAAAGACACTTTAAGCCATTGGTTAAATAAACTATGGTGAAAACGTAGAACAACATCCAAGTGAAAGGTAAAACAGGAAGTAGAAAGAACAAGGCCAAAAAAGAGAATTTATGAGAACACAAAACGCTCAGTACTTTGCCATTCATTTCAGATCTCCATATTTAGCTCACTTGCAGACCTCCCAACTACCCTGGTTTTGACAGGACAGTCCCTATTTCAGGATGCAGTCCTACCATTCTGACTTTGTTCCCTGGTATCGTGGTTTGGGGATATGTCGAATGATTCTTAAAGCGAGACGGTAAAATAGCAGACTTAATTTGCTTGTTGGTAGACTGTAGCGTTTATTCACTAAATAGTGAACTGAAAACCAGGCTGCAAAATTCAGGACACAATAGCCAAACCGTGGAACTGGACTCTCCTCGCAAATCAGTACTTTTTTTTTTTCATAAAATGTTTGTATTTGATATACAAACCCCTTTTTGCCAGGGTTATTCACTGAAGCGAAAATTGGTGGGAATTCAAAGTGAATTTAAAATTTAAGGCCAAAGTAGATGAACGTGAAACATTGCTGACTTGGATTCATCTTTCCAGTTAGGATATTTTGGCCTTAAATTTAAAATTCACTTTGAATTCCTGACAATTCATTGAATAGTCCTGTCTGTGTACATTCACCATCATATATTTTGCCACCTGTCATCACTCTGCTGAGGTGTCAGAGCCGAGATACAGACCAGTGATACCACGTTTAGTGAAGGATTCTGTAAGGTGAGCAGCATGAGGGGTCTACTTAAGGGGACACAATAGGCACCCAGACCACTTCAGCTCATTGAAGTGCAGTGTTCCAGGGGCCACGTCCCTTAACCCTGCAGTGGTAATTATTGCAGATTTTAAATAAACTGCAATAATTACCTGCCAGGGTTAACTTCACCTCTAGTGGCTGTCGACTAGACAGCCACTAGAGGGACTTCCAGGTCATTAGGCGACTTCTTTTGGTCGCCTAATTACCACTGGACGTCCTTACACTATGCATTAGAACATCCAGCTTCACCCACAACTCCATAGGAAAGCAAGGTTCTCGCTGCGCATGCGCATTAGGCCTCCCCGCCAGCTGACTTTGACAGAGGAAGAGCAGAGGCTGAGCCGGAATTTGATTGAGAACAGAGTTTGACTCTGATCTCACAGGGAAGTACCCCTAGTGGCTGTCAGAAAAACATCGGAGAGAGGGGTGTTTAACCCTGCAATGACAACGTTTCTACAAGGGTTAACACTAAAGGGCCACTGCACTGAGATGATGTGGTCTGGTTGTGTTTATTGATCCTTTCATCTCACATTCACACACTGCTGCACAGAACGTGTTGCCCTACGGTATTCAGCATTCATATGCCGCAGGAAGGATATCAATGAATCCAAATGGGATACCCAAATAACTTGTTTAAATCAACTGATTATCTCTTGCGACATAGGAATTCTATATATTACAGTACAGGAGCACTTTTCATGTTCTGCCCCTCAAAACAAAGAAGTGATGTCTATCTAGGAAAACATGGTGGATCTGATAACCCAACTCCTTGAACATTCCGAGACACCAGATACAATGAACGAACACTCACCTTTCCCTTCAGATCCAGGACAAACACTGCAGAGGCTGACATGATTGAAAGATTATGCCTCCTTATACAGAGTTATTGAACTGGAGGGTTAAATATGATCTTCCTACTTCCAGGAAGGTCTCTGTCCCAGTTACGGGATTCCCACAGAATATTTGATCCTTTTCCAGTAATTTTATTTTCTTGTCCTGCATGCAGTTATTTGCCAGCTATTCCTTCTCTTTTCCTGCTTCCTGTCTTCACCTACCCCCGACGTCACCAGCACAGGTACATCCAGTTTCCAGGTGTGCTGGTTTCTTAAAGGGAAAGTGCATTGTAAAAAACCTCCTACCTCATCAATACATGTAAGGACAGTGGCCTTAAGGCACTTCACCTTTAATTGCTAGAGTAAGGTATAGAGTTACAGGCAGGAGAGGAGGAGGATGGCTTGCTGACACTTTTAGCTTTCGAGGCCTTGTTCAGCCATTCATTTACACCTGTGGGGATTAACCTTATCTACAGAATATCGGGAATGTATTCTCTAAATGGGGAAATGTGAAAAACCGACATGGGAAATAATCTAAAAATTGCAAATTGGAAAAATACAACAGCTCAATTGTTTTCCAGCTCAGTAGTTTCAGTTAAAACGTAGTAATTCCCTTTTCATTTCTCAATAAATCCTGCTTTGGTGAATTAACGTCTTAATGAAAGACGGTAGTTTAAAGGTAGATATCTCTATATTTAAACAAAAATAATATATTCCCTGGATAACACTTGTTTTTCAAACCCTTCGCTTTCTGCACGCAAAATTCTAGGTATTATTGGGTATAACAAGTGTCGTGTGCTGAAAAGTGGTCTAAAGTGCTACAAGTGGGGCGGTTACCATGGAAACCAGTGGACCCAACAAGCAACATTGCATTGGAAACTCCGCCCCCATTATATATTTGACCTTTGCTTTATTTTTTTAGCTGCAGAAACCCCATAGCACCTGACAAAAGAACATGTTAGATACAAGTTAATAACTGGTTTCTTCATTAGCAGGATTAATAACTAAAAATCAAACTTTAGTGAAAATTCAGGCTAAAATAGCCAAGTCCTGATTTAAACTGATTTTCCAGATCAGCTACTTTAGCCTTAAATTTCCCATCTCAATTTTTATTCACTGCTTTTTGAAGTTTAGTGAAAAACACTGTTAATGTAGCCCATGGAACAGCGGAGCTAGGGGAGTGGGCCTTGACAGAGCCAGGAGGTTGGCATCGCAACCAGGGGACGTTATTATGGGAGTATTTATACCGGCCATTTTATGAAGTGGCCATCTTAACTAAACCTAAACTTAGCTGTTAGTTGTCCCTCCTAACCCTCCCGAATTTGGATAGGTTAATTTTTTTCCCATTTTCTTCACAGAGACCGGGAATGGCCAGGTTAAATGGGGGAGGGGGGCATCTTGAGGGTTAGTGTGGATTAGGCAGTGTTACACTTGGTTGGTAGGTTCGACCCCGTCGATGGCTCTGAACCTGGGGGTGTAGTGGTGTCTTGGTACTACGCTACAATTTAATCTGGTGGAAATGTGGTCATAGTTGACGGCCAGTTTCTGTGTTAATATGTTATTTATTGTTATTATTGTGGGGTCATTGCCAGGGGTATGTTATGTATACGGCGGGTATGTTGGCTTTAATAATATTTGTTGGCAATGACCCTATTTGTTATACCTTAATTAATTAATCATTAATAAAGCTGTGTACTAATATTTCCAACAGTATAACCTGTGTCCGTGTTTTAATGGGGTTCAGGGTAAGGTTAGCGCATGTGCCGGTAAATCCAACTGTGTGCCTGTCATGTGAATTGCCAAGAATTAATTTTCATGAACTGAAAACTACATTTCAGAATTACGTTTAAATTAACCCAAGTAGCTGAGTTATGGAATTTTCCTAGCTCAGGTATTTTGACTAAATTTAGCAATTTGGTTTATAATTAATTTATAACACATTTACTATTTAGTGAATAAGCCCCATAAATGATTTCTAGGTTTATTTATTTCTATTCAGAATTTAAAAGACATGTTAAACATATACAATGGATATATATGCAGAGAGGAGGGAGGTAGTCAGAGTAAATTCCAATTAAACGGCTCCAAGTATCTAAATGATATTAATAAATGTCACAAGAGAGCGTACTACTTGCAAAGCTGTCTAAGCCACTTAAATTTCATAATTTTTTTTTTAATTTACAAAAATGGCAGGAGTTGGGTATTGGAGTGTTGAATGAGTAAATGGAATTTTGTGGTGGGGAAGGGTTTAAACGTTTAGGCCAACATATTCAAGCCAGACTTGAGAATTTTTACAGCTATATTGGCCTAAAATTGAAATTCCTCAGAATATATATATTTTTTAAATCTCTTTTTATCCACTTATTGCAGAGAGAATTGTAGGCACGCAGGCCTTAATATATACATACATGCAGATCCCATTGTATAGCGCTACAGAATTTGCTGGCACTATATTATTAATAATAACAATAAGACACATACATGTGAAGGATAGCATAAAATCTAGCCTAATAAAAGTTAGTGAGGCAAACATAGAGTCCGTTTGGGCTACGTTAGAATTTGGTAATCACACAGTAACTCGTGTAGGTGTGATTTATAGGCCCCCAGGACAAATTGAAGAGTTAGATAATCTACTAGTTGAGGAAATAGCTAAAATGACAATGAAGGGGGAAGTTATCATCATTGGTGACTTTAATCTTCCTGATGTAAATTGGAAAACAAAATTAGCTACTTGTGCCAGGAGCACACATATTCTAAACTCCCTACTGGGATTGTCTCTAAAACAAGTTGTTGAGGAGCCAACTCATAAAGAGGCCATACTAGATTTAGTGTTAACAAATGGAGATTTGGTATCAGATATTACTGTAGGTGAAAGTTTAGGATCCAGTGATCATCAGTCAGTGTGGTTTAATATAAGAACAGTGACTGAATCACACCACACAAAAACAAAAGTTTTAGACTTTAGAAAAACAGACTTTTCTAAAATTAGAATATGGGTAGGGGAGTCATTATCAGACTGGAGCAATTTAAATGGAGTCCAAGAAAAATGGGATTATTTAAAAGTTGCACTATTGAAGGCAACAGAAAATTACATTAGGCTTGTCAGTAAAAGCAAAAAATTCAAGAAACCACTGTGGTACTCCGCAGATGTGGCCAAAATAGTGAAAAACAAAAAATTAGCATTTAGGAATTATAAAAAAAACAAGAGTGAGGGAAACAAAATAATCTATAAGATTAGGCAGAAAGAGGCTAAGCAAGTTATAAGAGCTTCCAAATCCCAGAAGATTGGAAGTTAGCTAATGTTGTGCCCATTTACAAGAAAGGTAATAGGGAGGAGTCGGGCAACTATAGGCCAGTAAGCCTTACTTCAGTAGTGGGGAAAGTGATGGAAACCATGTTAAAGGATAGGATTGATGAACATCTAAAAACACATGGATTTCAAGATCAGAGACAACATGGGCTTACTTCAGGGAGATCATGCCAAACTAATCTTATTGATTTTTTTGATTGGGTAACTAAAATTATAGATCAGGGTGGTGCAGTAGACATTGCTTACCTAGATTTCAGTAAGGCTTTTGACACTGCTGCACATAGAAGGCTTATCAATAAACTGCAATCTTTAAGTTTGGATTCCAATATTGTTGAATGGGTAAGGCAGTGGCTGAGTGACAGGCAACAGAGGGTTGTAGTTAATGGAATATATTCGAAGCTTGGACTTGTCACCAGTGGGGTACCTCAGGGATCTGTACTTGGACCCATTCTCTTTAATATTTTTATTAGTGATATTGCAGAAGGTCTTGATGGTAAGGTATGTCTTTTTGCTGATGATACTAAGATATGTAACAGGGTTGATGTTCCAGGAGGGATAAGCCAAATGGCAAATGATTTAGGTAAACTAGAAAAATGGTCAGAATTGTGGCAACTGACATTTAATGTGGATAAGTGCAAGATAATGCATCTTGGACGTAAAAACCCAAGGGCAGAGTACAGAATATTTGATAGAGTCCTAACCTCAACATATGAGGAAAGGGATTTAGGGGTGATTATTTCTGATGACTTAAAAGGTAGGCAGACAATGTAATAGAGCAGCAGGAAATGCTAGCAGAATGCTTGGTTGTATAGGGAGAGGTATTAGCAGTAGAAAGAGGGAAGTGCTCATGCCATTGTACAGAACACTGGTGAGACCTCACTTGGAGTATTGTACGCAGTACTGGAGACCGGATCTTCAGAAGGATATTGATACCTTAGAGAGGGTTCAGAGAAGGGCTACTAAACTGGTTCATGGATTGCGGAATAAAACTTACCAGGAAAGGTTAAAGGATCTTAACATGTATAGCTTGGAGGAAAGACGAGACAGGGGGGATATGATAGAAACATTTAAATATATAAAGGAATCAACACAGTAAAGGAGGAGACTATATTTAAAAGAAGAAAAACTACCACAACAAGAGGACATAGTCTTAAATTAGAGGGACAAAGGTTTAAAAATAATATCAGAAAGTATTACTTTACTGAGAGGGTAGTGGATGCATGGAATAGCCTTCCAGCTGAAGTGGTAGAGGTTAACACAGTAAAGGAGTTTAAGCATGCGTGGGATAGGCATAAGGCTATCCTAACTATAAGATAAGGCTAGGGACTAATTAAAGTATTTAGAAAATTGGGCAGACTAGATGGGCCGAATGGTTCTTATCTGCCGTCACATTCTATGTTTCTATGTTTCTACATACATCCCTAATGCATACATACACACACACACTGCCCTATATATATATATATATATATATATATATATATATACACAGAAAATAGTTAGCTTGGCACTCTCCATTTCCCCAGAGTAATCACAACATTGTATGCCTGGGTGCAATCCCGCGTTGTAGAGACGTAAAGATGAAGGACGAGATGCACTCTCAGGGCTTTTACGTAGATAAATACAAATTTATTCCATAAAGGTATTTACATCAAAAGATGACCGACGTTTTGACCCATTCGGGTCTTCCTCAAGATCCATCAAGAACTTGAGGAAGACCCGAACGGGTCGAAACGTCAGTCATTTTCTTATGTAAATACCTTTATGGAATAAATTCATATTTATCTACATAAAAGCCCTGAGAGTGCATCTCTTCATTCATGTTTATATATATACACAAACAAATGTGAAGATCACTAAAAATAAGTGGGGTACCCGGGAGCTACTAATTAGAACAGAGTAAAATGTAATGAATAAAATAATAAAATATGCTAAGATAAAAT